GAAGCTACGAGTTAAGCCCTACAATGTTCAATAAACTCCTATGAACCCAGTAGGAGACCTGGTTGGCCAGTATTGCGGCAAGACCTGGGGACTCTTGGGCCCAGAGTCAGTGACATAGCCATGGAAGACTAGAATGGAGAGTGAAGCATCCAGCTGATAAGAAGAGAGGGCATATGCATAAGAACACCCACACTTGCAGATAATACCCACTTGATCTGGTTTCAATGACCAGAAGAAGAAAGAAGAGGAAAAAAAAGAGTAATCTGATACAATTTGATGAACTTGACCTACACCTATGGATGCAGTAACTCAAAAGAGGGAACAACTCTGTACAGTGAGGATCATTCCCACCCCCTCCATACACAGAGTGGACAAGGATGGGCAACTTGGACATTGGCTACCAAAATGGGGGGGCTACAAAGGCAAGAAGTGACTGGCTTACAAGCTTTTAAGAGGGACCTAGATCCGGAGGGTGTGGAGGAAGGTAGTATCTCCACTGAGTAGTATCCAATCTGTCTAGGCGGGGCTGATGAAAGAAGATGGGGATAGGTCCCTTGTGATACAATAGTGAATAATTGTTATCAGGACTGACTGTGAGGGTTGGAAATGTAAAGGTGGACGTTTTGTAGCAAAAGGAGGGGAGTGATTGACTTTTTAGTCTAGGAGCGGAGATCCCTGGGACCATCAAGGGAGAAGAGCAGAGAGCAGGACCCTACCCAGAGAAGCAGTGATGCCAGAGATGGAGGCAGAGACAATGATGTGGAGGATGATGTGGCTGGGGACTTTAGAACCAGAGAGAGAGGGGGGCTGTGTGCTGATGACCAGTGACCAGGGGGTGGGGGTGGGGGAGGGCAAGCTTGCAGGGTATATATACCCTTTGGTTGGTTGATGATACATGGAGGGGATTGTAACCATGGCAATGAAACCATATACGATAGGATAGGAAATGTTCTCCCATGTAAACTATCACATAATTCACAATAAAACATTTTTTTTAAAAAAGAAGAAAAAGACCAAAATGGATGTCAGAAGAGATTCTGAAACTTGCTCCTCAGCATAAAGATGCTAAAGAAAATGGAAGAAGTGAGGAGGTACAAGAGCTGAATAGAAAATTTCAAAGGTCAGGTGGAGAAGACAAAGCAAATATTATAACGAAATGTGCAAAAACCTCAAGTTAGAAAACCAGAAGAGAAGATGAGCATTTCTCAAGCAGAGGGAACTGAAGAAAAATTTAAGCCATGACTTTCAGTATTGAAGAATTCTGTAGGTAAAATATGGAGAGAACTTAGATCACACAGTGCTGCTTCTTTGAGTGGGATACCCAGTCAACAAAGCATCAACACCACTAGAAATGTATTAGAAATACAAATTCCTAGGCCCCAACCCAGACCTACTGGCTCAAAACTCTGGGTTGGAGCCTGTTGTTAAGTCAGTTCTGACTCATAGCTGTCTTGGTGGTAAGTGCAGTCAAGTTGGTTTCAACTCATAGTGACCCTGTATAGTGTGTCCAAGGAGTGGCTGGTGAGTTTGAACAACTAGCCTTTCAGTTAGCAGTCCAGTGCTTATCCTACAGTACCACACCAGGGTGGGGCCTGCAATCTGAATTTTAACAAATTAGCAGGTGGTTTTGATGTACTAGTCCTGGTGTGGCACTGTAGGATAAGCACTAGATTGCTAACCGCAAGGTTGGCAGTTCAAACCCACCAACTGCTCAAGGTCACTATGAATTGGAACCAACTCGACAGCATTTAACAACAACAACAATGTCTGGAAATCCTGCACTATAAAGGAAGATGAGGTTACACTCTCCTTTTTTTAAATCAACGGTAGTACTGGACCACGAACCACAAGGTCAGTAATTCAAACCCCATTAGCGGCTCCTCGGAAACCCTATTCAGGGTTGCTATGAGTCAGAATGGACTTGACAACACATAATAACATTGAGATATAATTCATATACCATTACAATTCTCCTACTTTAAGTGTGTAACTCAGTGGGGTTTTTTTAAATCATCACCACAATCAATTTTAGAACATTTTCATCTCCCTAAAAATAAGCCCTTACACACTGGCAGTCACTCCCTGTTCCCCCAAGTCCCTGACAAGCATTAATCTACTGTCAGTCTCTGTGGATTTGCCTATTTGAGGCATTTCTTATAAATGGAATCATACAATAGGTGGTCTTTTGTGACTGACTCTTTCACTTAACATAATGTTTTCAAAGTTTATCCGTGTACCCTTTTTATTGCCAAGTCATATCCCACTGTATGGATACACTACATTTAAAAATTCTTTCATCAGTTGATAGACATTTGGGTTGATTCCATATTTTGGCTATGATGAATAACACTGCCATGAACATTTGTGTGCAAGTTTCTGTGTGGATTTATGTCTTCATTTCTCCTGAGTATGTAACTAAGAGTGAAATTTCTGAGTCATAGAACTCATACTCTTAACCACTACACATGCCAATTAGTCTCAGTGTCTGCTATTATTGAAGAATTATATTATCAATAATACCAACTGTTGCTTCCATCTATTGAGTGTCTATGTTGCAAAACCATTGACTTTTATTGTAATGAATCCTCCCACAACCCTATAAAATAGGAATCAGTTATACAGATGAGAGAAACGGGGCCTCACAGGGGTCATTCAACTTGTCTTAAGTTCATATAGCTAATATGGGGTAGCGCTGGGACTGTACCCCAGTTCTGCCTGTTTCCTGTGCCCTCTGTGCTTGATAGCATGTCCCGGGCTATATTCTTTTGCAAAGCTTTCGAAACGTGCCCCCTCCCATCCTTTCAGCCTTTTTTGGAAGTCAGGCCAACTTGAAATCCCAAGGGGTGAGAGCTGCAAAGTCATGCCGCCCCCCCCCGCCCCCCCCACACATGCTCTTTCCCCCAGCTGGGGCTGAAAGCCAGGGGAGGGGCTTCCCTGGGAGCTGGAAATATAATGGAGGGAGGGCTGAGCTGAGCGAGGCAGCATTGCAAGGAGGCTGTGAAGGGGAGGTAAGGATTTTTTTTGGGGGGGTGGGGCTAAAAAAAAAAAATAGAGCAGGTGAGGTGAGACTTGGTGGGATTTTGCAAGAGATAAGGAGTGAAGCGTGACGTCAGAATATAATGAGCTTAGTAGTGCTAAAAGGGAGAGGCTTTCTAGCTTCTGTGGGGACTGGCCTGGGGAGTCCTGCAAATTCTTAGGAGAAAGTTATTTTACCTGTCTGGAGGGGGCTTTCATTCTATGACACTCCTGGTGCCCCTTGTTTTGTGCCAGCCCCTCTCTGTGCTGGGGGCTGGACTCCTCAGAGTTGGGCCCCCGGGGACTGCAGAGTTAGAACAGAAACAGACACTGAGGTGCACTTGGCAAGGAAGGGCAGGGTGAAGGGTAATTCTGCAGGAGGAAAGAGACTGGGACTCTGTGGCTGCAGAGGTTTAGCTCTGGGCCAGAGGAAGTTATTGTTGGCTGAAGGAACTACCTGAGCAGTCTCAGAAAATGGTGACAGGAGAACCCAAGTGTCTACCAGCTTAGACTTATGCTGTACCTACCATACAGTCACCGCTTGCCACAGGGACATCATGCTTGATAGAGCAGAGGGTTAGTGAAAAAGAGGAAGACTCCAGTGAAATGGACAGAGAGTAGCTACAGCAAGGGTTCAAATATGGCACAGAATTGGATAGTTCTTCGTTCTGTTGTACATAGGGGCTCTGGGAGTTGAAATCGACTCGATGGCATTGAACATCAACCATGAAACAGTCACAAATCACAGTGGCTATTAAATGAAAAAAAAAAAAAAACCAATTCCTCGGTTATGGGACTAGGAGTTATATTGTTGTTGTTGTGAAGTGCCATTGAGTCGGTTCCGACCCATAGTGACTCTGTACAGGGTTTCCAAGGGTGTAAATCATTACGGGAGTAGAAAGCCTCATCTTTCTCCCGCGGAGCGGCTGGTAGTTATATTAGAGAATACAAATATAGAACATTTCCATCAACACAGAAAGTTCACTTGGCCTGTGGGAAGCCTCAGGAGGGACTCATTGCTCAAGGACCCGAGGGAGAGAACAGGCTCAGGCCAGGCTGCATGGACTACAGCCATGGACTATAGCTGGAGGGCTGTCCTAGCCTGGTGAGGTCTCTGGACTATAGGTGATGAGTTAGTCCCCAGCAATGTGAAATAATGTCTGAGTTCTCTACTGCTGCTATAACAAATACCATAAATGGGTAACTTTAACAAACAGAAATTTATTTGCTCACAGTTCAGGAGGCTAGAAGTTTGAATTCAGGGTGCCAACTTTAGAAATTCAAGGTGCCAACTTTTCTCTAGAGCCAACAGAAAGAGAAAACAAAAGGCTTTCTCTTTCTGTTGGCTCTAGAGAAAGGTCCTTGTCTCTTTGAGATTCTATTTCTGGGGTGATCTTCATGTGACTTGGCATTCCCCCCCCCCCACACACACATCTCTGCTTCTCACTTGCTTGTTTAATCTCTTTTCTATCTCAAGAGATTGATTCAAGCCACCATCTACACTAACACTGTCTCATGAACATAAACAAGAAAATCTAGACACAGAGGTTAGGAATAACACATATTGAGGGGGTGGGACACAATTCAATCAGAGATGGTGTGACTCATCTCTGCCTGGGCCACCTCTTGCCAGCGTAATGTGGACTCTGCCCCCTGGGACAGGAACTAAGTAGGCAGGAACCCCAACTTGGGATTTCTGATCAGTGTGATTGGAGCCAGGGTCAGAGAAACATGGCGTGAGTGGGGCAGCGGAGGAAGGAGCAGCAGCAGAGAGAGGACAGAGGGGTGGCCTGGCTTAGTCACAGCTGGTGTGCTTGGGAGTTGGAGAGAGAGAGGAGAAGGCTGGGGAAAGTGTGTTTGAGTGGGAATGGGAAGCCAGGGAGAAGGCTTTCTGGTTGGGAGTGGTGTCATATTAATTGTGTGGAATGATGAGAGAGAATCCTCCTAATGAGCTGCTCTGCCTCCTTCCCAGGTCCGGATCAATCCAGCTAACAAGGATGGACTATGCCATGAAATCCCTCAGCCTTTTCAACCCCAAGTCCCTCTCCAGGTGAGGAGAGTTAAGATGCAGTGGGACTGGAGCTATCTAAATAGGTCAGGGCGTCTCAAAATTTAATGTCATAAGGGTCACCTGAGGATCTTGTTAAAATGCAAATTCTAGTTCAGGAGGTCTGGGGTGGGACCTGAGATAGTGCATTTCTGACAAGTCTCCAGGTAAGGGACTTACAACTGCAGTTTGAGTAGACAAGAGTCTAGGCATTATGCTTAATAAAGGCTTTCGTTCCTGGTCGAATTTAAACCTCACAACTTTGGGAAATGAGATTATGTCAAATTAATAGATGAGGAAACTGAGGTACAGAGTTGTTGTTGTTAAGTGCCGTCGAGTTGGTTCTGACCCATAGCGACCTTGAACAGGGTTTCCGAGGCTGTAAATCTTTACGGGAGCAGAAAGCCTCATCTTTCTCCTACAAAGCAGCTGGCAGTTTCGAACTACTGATCTTGAGGTTCACAGCCCGATTCGTAACCACTATGCTACCAGAGCTCTTTGAGGTACAGGGTGGGCACTCCAAATTAACCAACAAATTGATAGTGGGGTCAGATTTGACCCTTGGCCTACCTGACTGCAAATCCCAGGTTGTCTCCACTCATTTGAGTCTACATTATCTCCCCCAGAGCTCAAAAAGACCTTAAATTGACTTCAGGCTTCATCACTTCTTCTCATTTAACAGGTGAGAAGAGTGAGACCACATTAGCAAAGGGGTAATTGAGGAGTGTGAGATGGGTCTTCCATCACCTTGCTACATGTCTGGTCTGCTTTACCCACTAGCATTAGCATCAACTAGGGACTTATTAGAAATGCAGCTTTTCAGGCCCTACCCCAGACGTACTGAGCCAGAATCTGCATTTTTGAGATCTTCAGGTGGCTTATATTCCACTAAAGTTTGAGCTGTACTGATCTAGCAGACTTTTGAGTAAGAGAATCTAGAGAAGGTTTGGTGCAGTGGTAGGGGAGGAGCATGATGAACACCCCCTAGAGGTAACCATGGAGTCCTGGTGTGGCGCTGTGTGGGGTTAACATGCCAAACTGCAAAGTCAGTTTGATCTGCCAGGTTAGTGGTTCAAGCTCACCAGCTGCTCCTCAGAAACCCTATACAGTGTTGCTATGGGTTGGAACCGACTCAACGGCACGTAACAACAAAGAGGTCATGATAAAGCTGACCTATTGGAAGGTTTTGGCCTAGAGAGAGAGTGTGTGTGTGTGTGAGTTCCTCCTACAGTTGGGAGGGCTGGGAGGCAGCAGGGGACTCATCCTGATGCTCCAAACTGCCCCCAGATATGTGGCAGTGAGCACCTCGGTGGTGACCCAGCAGTTGCTGTCGGATGCCAGGCCCGAGGTCCCCAGAGCCCGGCCATACCGAGTAAGCAATGCCAACAGGAGTGTGCGGAAGGGCATCATGGCACACAGCCTCGAGGACCTCCTCCACAAGGTGAGGGCTAGCTGCCTTGCTCAGCACAGCCAACTGCTGAGGCCTGAGCAGATGCTGCCAACTTCCTCTGTCCTTCGGCTCACAAGCAGGGAGTTCATCAGGGATGGGTTCATGCCTTAGGTGGTTTCTATTCTGGTCTCAGTTCGATGGATTGACTGCCTTGAGTACAACTGCACTCAATTAATGATGTCTGTCTGGTGGCAGGAGGGTAGTATTTTTTTAAATTTTTTTATTGTGAATTGAATGATATGGGAGAACATCAGCTTTACACTCATCCTATCGCATTTTGTTTCATTGCAATGATTACAATCCCCAGTAGGGCAGTATTTAGCCATCACACACTAACAGTCCATCAACAGTATTTTCAGAGCATATTCTTCTAGCTCTTAAGTTCTCTTAAACCTGTAGAAGTCCTTGAAGTTGGGAAAATGAACAGGATTTTAGAAATTTCCTTCCACATCTTGTACCTCCAGCCAGGGCAAAAAAGAAAACCAAAGTCCAAACCTTCAAGCCAAAACCATTTACTGTGCGGCAACTCTGAGTCCTGGGGACTCCACATGTGTCAAAATAGACCCATGTTCCACAGGGCTTTCAACTGCACATGTGTCAGAATAGACCTGTGTTCCACAGGGCTTTCAACTGCACATGTGTCAGAATAGACCTGTGCTCCACAGGGCTTTCAATGGCCATTCTTTGTTTTTCAGGAGTAGATCACCAGGCCTTTCTTAGGAGGATTCATAAGTGGATTCATACCTCTAACCCTTTCCATTGGCAGCAGAGTGCATTAACTATTTGCACTTCCCAGGGACTCCTTAAATCTGTCTTTCACGTTGTCTTTCTAGGTAAGATTTTGTTAATAGCTGGAAGACTTTCTTGAAACTATGTTGTTGTTAAGTGTTGTTCAATTGGTTCTGATTTACCTGTATAGGGGTTCCAAGGAGTGAGTAGTGGGTTTGAACCACTGACCTTATGGTTAGCAGTTCAGTGGTGATCCTACAGCACCACACAAGGAAACTATGGCTCAGGTCAATTTCCAGAGGTAGAAACCAAGGTCATAACCCCTATAGTGAATGATGCTCTACAATAACAGTTATTGAAGCAAGAATGCCAAGCTTCCCTATCCTCCTCCTCCCTCCCCATCAGGTGGGGGTGACTCTCCTTCTGAGCCTCCTACAGACTCATCTTGCTCTGCATGAGTCATGTGACCATGTGTGTCACTGCACTATTAGCTTATCAGTTCCATAGGAGTGGAAACACTCTCACCTTGGCTGCAAGCCTACATGCCTGGCACAGATAAATGTTTGCTTTAGGCTTCCAATCACTAGTCTGGTTAATGCACAGAAACAATAGATGGCCCACTGTAGGGTAAGTACGAGACTGCCAACTGCAAGGTAGGCTGTTATAGTCTAAACCCACTAGCCACTCCTGGGAAACCTTATACGCGATTTCTATGAGTCGGAACCTATTCGATAGCACTTAGCAACAAAACAAATCCATCTTCTAGGCCTTTCTCTAAGTTAGGTCTGTTCTTCTTAGGAGTAGATTTTCTGTCTTTTTTAAGGCTTCTGGCTCTGCCAGATTTATGGTTTTTTGTTCTTTGAATCAAAAGAACTCTTTCACACTTTAGTTTGGACTCAGTACTCTTTTGCATCTTAGGGCCTGGGGATGAACCTTGAAAACATTATGCTAGATGAAAGAATCCAGACACCGAAGGCCACATGCTGTCTGATTCCATTTATATAAGATGTCCAGCACAAACGAACCCACAGACACAGAAAGTAAATCAGTGGTGGTCATGGGTGGGAGGAAAAGGGGGATAGGAGTGGTGCTAAGGAACATGGGGTTTCTTTTAGGGTGATAAAATGATTCTGGAATTAGATTCTATGATGGTTACCACGGGGTAAGAGATGGGTTGTTAAGTGCCATAGAGTTGAATCTGACTCATAGCAACCCTGTATTGGGTTTCCAAGGAGCAACTGGTGAGCTTGAACTGTCGACCTTGCGATTCAAACGACTTTGCAGTCTGGCGCATTAACCCACAGTGCCACACCAGCACTCCGAGGGATGGGTGGAGAGGGAATTATTCATAGGTTAGAGGGTAGACACATGTTAACATGGGTGATGGGGCAGGCAATATACAATAAAAAGGAGGTTGTCAGAGGAAAGATGAAGACAGCAGGAGACAGAGGAGTACAAAGGTTAAAAGAAATAGAGGTAAGTATCGTTAACTGATGGTGCATGGAAGGGATTGCAAGCATTGTAATGAGGCTGATGATCCTTCACTTGGTTCACAATAAAAAGTTTTTTAAAATTCTGCAATTAGATAGTGATGCCTGATGCACAGCTTGTGACTATATTAAAACCCACCAAGTTGTACACTTTAAAAGCATGAACTATAGAGTATGTGAATTGTCTCACAATTAAAAATTATATATGTGGCCCCTATTGGATTTTTATTGAAGAGTGCTGTTAGGGTATTAACCATGAAGCCACGTACCAAGAGGTACAATGACAAAGTCTTTGGGTGGTGAGCGCAGAGAGCGCCTGAGTTTCAGTTTCGATCCATAGTGCCCAGCCCCCTGTTCTTTCTCTGCTGGGTCACTCTTTGCCCTGGCAGGTGATGGGATGGGTCTTCCCAGGCCGAGCTTTGTGAGTCCTTGTAAAAGTAACACTGGCCTTATTCCCCAGGTTCGACATGCCCTGATGCTGGCAGACAAGCCCTTCTCCCTGGTGCTGGAGGAAGATGGTACAATTGTAGAGACAGAAGAGTACTTTCAGGCCTTGGGAGAGGACACCGTGTTCATGGTGCTCTGGAAGGGAGAGAAATGGCTGTCCCCATCAGAGCAGGTGAGGACTGACCTGTGGGGCAACAATCAGCCACCTGGGAGGAAAGCCTTGGGGAGAGCTAACCACATTCTTGTCTTGATGCAGGGGACTGGGTATCAACCCTCCCTCTCACATAAGCCTGCCAAGAAGATTGATGTGGCCTGTGTGACCTTCGACTTGTACAAGACAAACCCGCAGGATTTCATTGGCTGCCTGAATGTGAAGGCAACTCTCTATGGCTCATATTCCCTTTCCTATGATCTGCACTGCCATGGGGCCAAGCGTGTCATGATGTAAGTGGATTCGGGTTAGCCAAAGAGAGGGCAGGAAGAGCCCTTCTCAGCTCACAACCACCTCTGCCTTCTCTGGAACTGGGACAAGCTTAGGTGCTGAAAAACCATAACAGTTAGCATTTGTCTAAAACTTTAATGGCTTAACTAAATGCTTTGTATTACACTGTTGTTAACTGCTGTTGAGTCAGTTCCAACCTATAGTGACCCTGTATGGGGTTTCCGAGGAAAGCTGGTGAGCTGGAACCACTGCTGCTGCAATTCAAAGCGACTTTGCAGTCTAGCTCATTAACCCAAAGCATCACATCAGGTCTTGTATTACTTATATTACACTGCTCTGTGCTGAAGGGGTGCACTGGCAGAATCTGGTTAGAGTTAGTTTGATTTTTACAAATGCTAAAAATGAATTTTTATTTCTAAGGAAAAAAATAGCACCACCTATCCCCCCACAGCAAGGAGCTCTGGTAGCGTAGTGGTTATGAATCGGGCTGCGAACCTCAAGGTCAGCAGTTCGAAACTACCAGCTGTTCTGCGGGAAAAAGATGAGGCTTTCTGCTCCCATAAAGATTTACAGCCTCGGAAACCCTGTACAGGGTCTCTATGAGTCGTAACTGATTCCACAGCATATAACAACAACAACATCTCCCCACAGCACTTTCCTACTCAGCTGGGTCTGATAATGGATTGCAGTGGCCACCCAGAACTCAGATGCCATACTCAGTTATAGGGTTTATGAGGGGAGTTAACAGGTTACAATCCAGGGTCAGAAATGTTCAGGGCACAGTTCTTCCAATCAGGTCAGCCACTCCCAAGCCATGCCCACAGGCAGGCCTCTCTCTGCCTGGGCAGTATTACAAGGCTTTTTTAGGGTTGCTGATAAATGCTCACAGGGCACACTACTGTACCATAAACCTCAGCCTGAAGGCACTCAGCTCTAACTCTGTAGATTCAGCAAACCTTGTTCCCCCAAGGAAGTGCCTAGAGGCACCACACTCTACAAGCAAGCCTCGCTAAAGCCTTTACTCAGTTTTACTTGCTCTGTGGGCTAGGGAGCTCACTACTCTAGCATGTGCTGTGGTTTCTCTGGTGTAATGACTTTCTGTCCCTGGGTTGAGGAGGTTCAGTGTACTGGGATCATGGGCTCCAAAGAATGTGCTCCATTCCTGGCTCTTCTTCCTTGGTAGTAGTAGACACGCCACCCCCTGTTTCTGAAATGGCTCATTTTATGCCCAGCAGGATGGTAAAATTGGCCAATCACAATTAGCCCTGTTAACAATCACTCACAACAGAATCATAGTATCCTAACAGCATCTTCTCCCACTTTCTCTTACATAGACCCATTAGAAAAAAGTCATTTTGTGGGAGTTTACAGATTATGGCTAGAAGAGACATTAAATAATTCACCACAAGATTGGTGGTTCAAACCCATCAACTACTTCTTGGAAACCCTGTACATGGTCACTATGAATTGGAACCGACTCGATGGCACATAACAACAACACACTTCCCCTTAAATATTGTTTACAGAGACATAATAATAATGACAGGATTCTAAGCCTATAATTCAGACCTATAACATCTCCCTTTTTTTTTAATGGTAGTGGAATCACAGTGATTTTTATTTATTTTTGGATAAATTTTGTTTTTCTAAATATTTGCCACTATCGTATTTATAAAATATATGAATTTTAGGAATACTTTTAACTGTTTGTGGGTGTCAAAAAGAGTTAAGTGCTTGACTATTAACCAGAAAGATGCCTTGGAAGAAAGGCCTGGCAGTTTAAAGGTCATAGGGTCAAACCCTCTGGAGCACAATTCTATCACACAGGGGATCAGAGTGAGTTGGAACTAAGTCCATGGCAACTGATGGTGGGAGTGGTAATCCACTATAGCAGCTAATTTTTAGTTTTTACTAAAATACTAAATTGTCCTAGATGGTCCTCTAATCAACTTTTACAAAATGAACATGTGTCAAAGATTTATCTAACTCATTAATAAAAGAACCAGTCAGTTCAAAGGTGAATTCAAAGTCCCACAGGAACATACGATTCATCAAGAATGCAGAAATGAGTTTATAAATAAGTATGAAATTAGCTTTTTCCAGTGGAGTGGAAGGGATGCAAATCAATTGTCCCTCCACAGGATAAAATTTATTTGCATGTCTATGGACAAGGGTCATTTGTATTCTGTAATCAACCTTTTTTTTTTTTAAAGTTACTTCAACTTTCAGGAGCACAGGAAGTATGAGGATATTTAAAATCCTAAAACAAATACTGCTGTGGTTGTGTTTCCCAAATGTAACTGCTTGAGGGAAACTTTTGGAACATTTTTACTTTATTAGGTGGATGTAGCCGCTGAGACTGAGGTGATATAATTAGTCCAAAGCCACAAAGCCAGGGAATAGCAGAGCCTGGTCTTTAACTAGTTTCTTCTGACAATTTCCTCTTCTCCCAGTTGCTAGATTCCAAGTGACTTGAAAAGGCCTGGGAGTCTAGGACATAGTGTCATGAGGGATGTCATGAGGGACAGAGAGAGATTTTATAGACCAGTCTGGTCCCAGCGAGTATATTGAAAAAAGAAGAAGAAAAGCCTTATTAAGTGGACTTGGATTTTGCATGAGAAAGGAGGGAGGAGATGGACATCTGAATTATGTTATGATTCCATGTGATGCCTCTGAGGGAGGCCAGGCAGCATCTGTTCCTGTTTGCATATCACTTTGCATTGCTGATGCAAATTACCAAAATGAAACCAATTTCTCCAGGCCAGGTTGAGAGTATGACGGTGGAGGCAGTTAAGTGGACGCAGGAGGGGTATTCTTCATGATGTGACCCAATGTCTTCTCTTTCCACCCAGGGAAGCTCTTCGCTGGGCCCTCCTGGGCATGCAAGCCACAGGCCATGTGTTGCTTGGCACCTCTTGTTATATGCAGCAGCTTCTGGATGCTACAGAGGAAGGGCAAAAACCCAAGGGCAAGGCCTTGTCCCTCCTCCCGACCTGTCTGAAGATACTGCAATGAAGCCTTGAGTCCCAGGCGATCTTCCCCAGCCAAGAATTAGATGGGGGACCCTATGCTTAGCCTCAGAGTCCACAAGCCTAGCAGCTATCTACAGAGTTTACCTCCCCACACCTCCCTCAGCCCACAGGACCGTGAATGAGAGAGAAAGCAGGAGGAAGGGCTAGAACGTTGGGCTGGATTGGCTAAAGGAGAACTACAGGTTCTTGATTTGGCCCAGCTCCTTCCTGCTCAAGGTGGCTTTACTGACCAGGAAGTGGGTCACCAGCAGGCTTCTTGTGAAGGCTGTGTGAAGGGGTGTGAAGTTTGCCCTTCAGCAACTTGTATTCATATCCTGTACTTTAATTTCACTCCCTGCCTCCAGGTTCCCCTATCCCAGATACTCCTATGTGGACTGCCCACTAGTGTATGATATTAGAGAATGTGCAATAAATAATTTATGCTGATACCTCTTCTTTGCCGGTGTTCTTGTGTTCTTTGGGGTGGAGGATGGACTCCTGTCTGGAATGTTGGAAAAGCCTGAGGGAAGAGAGAAATCTGTTCTCAAGCTCCTCACCACAACACAGGTGTTTTTCTTACAAAGTTGTTGTAGAGTTGACTCAGACTCTTGGCAATGCCATATGTGTCAGTGTAGAACTGTGCTCTGGTAGGAATTTCAATGGCTAATTTTTTCAGAAGTAGATAGGCCTTTCTCCCAAGGCATCTCTGGGTGGACTCCAACCTCTGACCTTTCAGTTTGCAGGCAAGCATGTTTGTACCACTCAAGGTCTTCAATGTGGATTAGAGGAAATTGACAGCACTTTATAAAACAATGTCATTAATTCTGGAACTAAAGTCTGTTTAATCTGAGACTTCAGCAGACCCTGTCATCAACAGACTAAGTGACCATTTCCAAGTTACATTGCCTATCAGAAGGACTTAAATAAGGAGAGTAGGATGAAAGCATTCTTCTAATGAAGTGTTTTAAGCAGGAATGCAGCAGCAAGCTGTAGTATAACTCCCCATCAATGCCTTCCTTAGCTTGTCAGCCAGTTCACCTTTTACATTTAGAAATTTCAGTCTCAGAATTTCACAGCAAGTTGTTAGAGAGTCACCAAGAGAGATTGTTTCCCATTAGTGTGAGATGGCATTTCTCCAGATGGGGCAACTCAAGACAAACATGGAAAACTGGACTTACAGGTGACTCTCAGATCCAAAAACTGTCTTGTCATATCCATTACTCTAAAGCCTGGGAGTCCTGGAATATTGCTGTAGGCTAATGCACCAGACTGCAAAGCCCTTTGAACTGCAAGGTCAGTGGTTCAAGCTCACCAGCTCACCAGCTGCTCCTTGGAAACCCTATACAGGGTCTCTTATGGGTTAGAATTGACTCGATGGCACTTAACAACAACTCTAAAGGCTGGAGTCCTGGTGTGCAGCGCAGTAGGATAAGCACTAGACTCAAGGTTGATTTGAACCAGAAGGTCAGCAGTTCAAACTCACCAACCGCTCCTCAGAAACCCTATACAGGGTCGCTATCAGTCAGAACCAACTCGACAGCACTTAACAACAACAACTCTAAAGCTAAGGAGCCCTGATGATGCAGTGGTTAAGTGCTTGGCTGCTAACTGAAATGTGGGCAGTTTGAACTGATTCTGTATTGGAAAGATAAGGCAGTTTGTCTCTGTAAAATTTACCCTATGGAAGAAACAGTTCTACTCTGCCCTACAGGTTGAGGAGAGACAGTGATACTATCTGCTCAGTGACAGTGGGTTTGGGTATTTTGTTTTGTTTTAAAGACAAAAATCTGTCATACCAAAGTTGTCTGAGGTGTTAGTTCAAGTAGTTGACCCAAATCCTGAAGCCCTGTGTGGGAGGTGCTGACAAAGCTAGTGGAGAAACACTAGCTATTCTGGGCTCTCCTGTTATTGTACTTTTGGCTGGAGACTTGACTCAGGGCCACATTGGCAACCAGCCACACTGGCTCCCTGGGCTGCCCTTCTGGTTTGGAGGCTTGATGTTTCCTCCAGCAAAGAATTTATTCTCTCCCACCACCACCCTCCCCTCCCCCCAAACAAGACTGAAGCTGTGGTCTGCCTGCCCTTTATGTAAATGATTGAGGTTGGGGTGGGGGTGGAATACTGGTATTTATTCCAAGCTCTGGGTAACATAGTGGTTCCGAATCGGGCTGTGAACTTCAAGGTAAGAAGTTCAAAACTACCAGCAGTTCTGCAGGAGAAAGATGAGGCTTTCTGCTCCCGTAAAGATTTACAGCCTCAGAAACCCTATACAGGGTCACTATGAGTCGAAACCGACTCCACAGCACATAACAACAACCCTTCCTCCTGTGGAAAAAAAAACAAAAAACATCATCAGGATTGGATTTTAACAACCTGCACTATGCAGATGACACAACCTTGCTTGCAAAAAAAACTTGAAGCACTTACTGAGGAAGATCAAACACTACAGTCTTCGGTATGGATTATACTTCAATATCAAGAAAACAAAATCCTCACAATTGGGCCAATAAACAACATCATGATAAGTGGAAAATGGAGGAAAGATTGAAGTGCTCAAGGATTTCATCTTACTTGAATCCACAAACGAAGCCTATGGAAGCAGCAGTCAAGAAACCAAATATTGGACATTTCTGCTGCAAAAGACCTCTTTAAGCTGTTAGAAATAAAGACGTCTATTTTTTTTTTTTTTTAATTTAAGGTTTTTATT